GTGAAGGTTTAATTATGGTAGTCTAATATGATAATGCCGAACAGTCACCAAGTAGCCTCACTCGTGGCGGCCGGTTGCTCATGTTCAAAGCACTTCTTCAAGGCATGCTAATGAGATGCGACCTGGTGAAAATCAATAGCTGTCATGGCATTCAGATCTAGCATTGCTGGAAGATGAGCTAACAAAACTCTGCGGCATGCATGTGCACATACAGTTACACAATTTCATGTACATATTTGTCAATTTTTGGTCTCCATTTCTCTAGCAAGTTGAGTCCATATTTCACTTGTTTCCGTTCATCCAGCTGACAGTCAATCTGTATGTGCGTAGCCTTGCGTCTATTAGGTGGTCGTTGGTTGCCTTCACCGTCTGGACGGTAAACAATGCCACCTTCTGGTGCCTCCCTGGAACCGAGGAGGAACTGATCGATGGCCTGGTTACCCGCAGAACTGTGTTTGGCTGTGCACATGGCGATGAGGCTATGCCTAACTATAGCCACAACTATGCCAGTTTTACTTTCTCAAAATGAGAACCCCACGGAGGTAATTGAACCGAGCTTAATTGGCTGCAAACGAGAGGATATTTTGCGGTGTATCTCATTTCTTTCAGTCTTCAACATGCACTCTTCCCATGAATATATTGAAGTATTTTGTCAATCCTCTGCGTAACCGTCGCCCTTAGCCTAAATGAGATGCTAATCTAAATCGACAGGAGACAATGTCTACTATAGAAATGACCTTGAAACTAAGCCAACTGTTTGGTTCGAGGGTGTCAGAGCCCAGCACATGTTTTGTCATTCCTAGCAAAGTGAGGTTTGAAAAACAATACCTCTTGCCACAACTCGAGCTGTTTACCGTGAATTGACCAGTACACCCCCAATGAAGCAGTTATTCCGTCTCTCGCAGTTAGAGGCTTGCTAATCTTCGTTTTCAAGTGATGAGTCGTGACTTTATGTACCGAGTAACCAGCATGTGGACATATTCATTGATTGATTCAATTCACTAATACCTTCCTCCCCTTCTTAGTGAGCTCATTTACAAAAATGATTTTGTGAACATGTTGTTTCGTTTATTTCTCAGAAATGCTACTATGTTTAGGGGATATTGTCATGACAAGCCACTCTTTTTGTCCCAGACTGTCAATTTGTATTAGTCCACAATCCCTCTGTCGTGTGAGTATGATCAACAGTTCCAAATTGGCTCTAAACCTGTGGTAGAGGGCTTCGTTTTACCTTTTTTTACAATTTCAAATGTTAAGTTTGTGGGTCGTCACACAAGAGGCTGGGCATAAGAAAGTGATAGACTTGA